ACAAGCTTTATCAGGGAGCTACATCTACAGCCCCTAACCTGTTGCTTCTGCTTGTATTCTCTGAGAATGAGTCCCAATGACTTTTAGTAACATTGTTTCCCTTCTAACTTTTTTGACCTGGACATAGTAAACATGAAACTGCACCTATTCTTTTTTTATACCACTTATTCTTTCATGGCAGTCCCAAACAAATGATAAGATGGATCATGTTCCCTCTCTTCCTTTTAAAGGACCACTCTTGATTCCCAGAGAACATTCTTTCTCTCACTCAGCTTCTTTCCTAGAGGTCCAAGTTTCCTACTGAAGCACACCTCCTAGATTCAATCCTAAGTTTCTGTGTTTTTCTTAAAGCTTTTAAAGACATTTTGAGGCCTGATACTTCACATATTTGGCATCTATCTGAAAATAAATCATCTTTGGAAATCTTAGCAAATTTGTTTTTTTTTTCACTCCCAAATTAGTCAGTGAGACAAAAACAAAATTATGTTCCACATCTAGAACACAAAGGATATGTCACTACAAAAAGTTTAAGCCTATCTTCTGATTGTTTCTGATATAGAGAAATCCTCCCATGAAAATGTTAAAGCCTGGTGTTTAGCATTCAAGTAGAATCAGGAGTGAGCAGAGATTAAATAAGGTCAGACTTATGTCTAAGTTTGAGTCTGGAAATGTCTTTCAAATTCTCATGTGTTAAAGACTTGGTTTCTAGCTGGTGGCACTACTGGGAGTGGGAGAGACTTTAGGAGGCAGGGCCTGGGTCACTGAATATATGCACTGGGGACCTCGACTCCTCTCCCTGCCCATTCCTGGCTGCCATGAAAGAATGGCTTTCCTTCATCATGCCTTTCTGCCATGATGCTCTGCCTTACCATAGGCCCAGAAACAACAAAACCCAAGTGACCATAGACTGAAACCTCTGAAAAGGTGAACCAAAATAAACTTTTCCTCCCTTTTACATCGATTTTCTTAGGTGTTTTGACACAGTGATGGAGAACCGAACAACACAGCTCTTGTAATTACTAAACCATAGGTTTGATTTTCATGAAGGTCACAACTTTGATTATCATCCTGAGTTTCTGGTTTTTTCCTGAAATTTTTAAAGAACATTATTGTTTGGGCCTGATACTTCACATATTTGATACTTCTCTGAAGATAAATTATTTTAAAAAATTTTTAGCAAATTTGTACTTTCACTCCCAAATTGGTCAGTGAAGCAAAAATAAAAATTGCCTTCGAAAACAAATGCATTTGTAAATGTCAGGATTTGAGATCACATGAACTTTAGGAGAAAACAAGTCACTAATGAGGGAGGAAGGACTGGATAAAGCCTGAAATTTTAGGTCCCAAGAACCATTAACAAGAGTCCTTTGTCACGCAAACTTGAAATATTTGGTTACAACTCAATTCTATTTACGGTCCACAGTGCTATGAAAGGCACAAACCTTTATGGAATAAATAAATGGAAACTGTGGACTATTTCCAATTGTTCTCAATATCATTAAGTAATATCATCAGGCCTAATCACTGTGCCTTGAACAGTACTGATAGTAACAACACTTGAAGAATAGACAGGATTTCACATTCAAAACGTTTAATCCTGAACCGTTTGATAGCAAAACAGGTTCTCTAGTTCTCTTTTTGCTCCTCATAAACAAATGCAAGAATCTTCACCAAAAGATCTTCAGTCATGCAAAAATGAAGTAACTGACACTTTGGTAAATATAAATTTCCTTACAGGGATATGCTTATTTAAATTGCTTTAACAAATAAATGAATAAACAAATTGCTTTAACAGAGCTGGAAACTTACCTTAGTGGTAGAATATGCGCTTAGCATGTGCAAGGGCCTGGGTTTGATCTCTAGCACCACTGATTAAATAAGAAAATAAATTGTTTTAACAATCACTAAAGCATTATATGGCTGAGATTTTAGTAATGACATTACCTGTTGATGGCTAAATCTTAATTCCCTATATATACCACCTGTGCCTGAAGTGCCATACATTTGGGAAGGGGTGTTTGCCCATGACCTGTTGTGGTGTTTGTGTTTGTTTGTCTAATGCTTAAGCACAAGCTTTATCAAGGAGCTACATCTACAGCCCCTAACCTGTTGCTTCTGCTTGTAATTCCTGAGAATGAGTCCCAATGACTTTTAGTAACATTGTTTCCCTTCTAACTTTTGACCTTGACATAATAAATATGGAATTGGGGGGCTGGGGATGTCTCTCCTACATGCGTGTGGCCCGGGTTCGATCCTCAGCACCACATACCAACAAAGATGTTGTGTCCACCGAAAACTAAAATAAAATAAATATTAAAAATTCTCTCTCTCTCTCTCTCTCTCTCTCTCTCTCTCTCTCTCCTCTCTCACTCTCTCTTTTAAAAAAAATTAAAAATAAAATAAATAAATAAATATGGAATTGCACCTATTCTTTTTTTATACCACTTATTCTTTCATGGCAGTCCCAAACAAATGATAAGATGGATCATGTTCCCCGTCGTCGTTTTATAGGAGCACCCATGATTTCCAGACAGCATCCTTTTCTCCCACTCATCCTCTTTCTTGGAGGTCCAAGTGTCCTGCTGAAGACCACCTCACTCCTCCCCACCAACTCCCCATCATAAAATATTGCAAACTTCAGGATTCTATTTTCAAAATCCACTGTCCCTCTGATTTATACTGGGCAATCACAAGTTATTCCTATTCAAAAGTGTAAGCACACCCTTTAACGTACCAAATAGACCATTATCTTTCCCTGCCCCCAACCTTTATTTATTTTTGTGGTACTAGGCATTAAACCCAGGGGCACTCTACCTCTGAGCTACAACCCCCTCCCAGCTCTTTTTTTTTTTTTTAAGAGGGAGAGAGAGAATTTTTTCTTTAATATTTATTTTTCAGTTATCGGCAGACACAACATCTTTGTATGTGGTGCTGAGGATCGAACCTGGGCCGCACGCATGCCAGACAAGCGGGCTACCACTTGAGCCACATCCCCAGCCCCCCTCCCGGCTCTTTTTAAAAAATGTTTTGAGACAGGGTCTTGCTAAATTGCCCAGGCTGGCTTAGAACTTGAGATTCTCCTGCCTCTCCTGGGATTACATCTGCGCCCAGCCAAACTTTTCTTTATTTTGAAAAATGTCTACCTCCAAAACAATTCACTGAGCTATTTGAATAATATATGATTGATTATATTATTAAAACAATGACTATGAATGAAGAACATTACATGCAGTATATTCTTTAATCAAAAATCTCTCTGGCTGGGTACAGTGATGGATACCTGTAATCCCAGTGGCTCAGGAGGCTGAGGCAGGAGGATTGCAAGTTCAAAGCCAATCTCAGTAATTTAGCAACTTAGTGAGACCCTGCCTCTTAATAAAATATAAAAAAGGGCTGGATATGTTGTTCAGTGGTTAAATGCCCCTGGGTTCAACCCTTTGTAAAACACACACACGCACACATACACACACACACACACCTCTCTGAAATGGGAGATATCCATTTTTACAGATGAGGAAACTGAGTCCGAGAGAATGTAAATAAAGTGCCTAATATCACATGTTTAGTAAGATACAGAATTCAAACTTTCATGACTAATTTTAGGATATTGTTGTTAATCTCTGAACTGTATCTATTAAAATGCATGTCATGACATAACAACGAAATGCAACGTGTGAACCTTGATTAGACCGCGGTTGGTGAAAAATAAACAAAAGGTGGCAAGGCCCAAGGGGTGGCCCATGCCTGTAGTCACACATCTGTAGTCCCAATTACTCAGGAGACTGAGGCAGAAGGATTCCTTGCGTCCAGGAGCTCAAGACCAGCCTGGGCAACATAGGGAGACCACAAATCTGGGGGGGGAGGATTGTATAAGCACACACTCACAGATCAATTGTGGCATAAAATTGACAACTAATGAATCAACGTGAGATACACAGATTTTGTTGTAAAGTCTTTCAACATTTCTGTAGGCGTGACAATTTCAAAATGGAATCTTGAGGGGGAATGTATGTCTAGAAAGGGCGCTTGAGAAATAATTCATAGACTCTCAGGATTATGAGATTTTTACATCACATAGTCTTACACAATCTTTCTCTTTGCTGACACTTGAGTGTTTCACCAACACCATTAGCAAAGATCATAATATACTCAATGTACAAATAAATATTTAAAAGTATAAAGATGTACATGCTCTGGGATCAAGTTTTTCTCTGTGAGCTGGTATTACCATAAAATCTCACCTATTTTTGCAATTATGTATTTTCAGAAAATTTCATTAAAGTTTCTAAAATTCCATTTAAAAAGTGCTAACAATTCCATATTGTGCCGGCAGCTGCGGTAGAACACACCTGTAATCCCAGCTACGCAGAAGTCTGAGGCTGGAGGATCTCAAGCTCATGGCAATTTAGAGACCCTGTCTCAAAAATAAAACTAAATAAAATAAACCTCATTGGCTACGATACTGCCACTGTACAAAGCTAAAAATAAATAAATAAATAAAATAATAGTGACTTTTAAAAAAGGTTGAGGACATAGCTCAGAGGTAGAGTGCCCCTGGGTTTAGTCCCCAGTGCCTCCCGTTCCCCATCCGAACGGTTTTCTTTCTCATTGGAAAGATCTGATAATGGAAATTGAAAGCCTTTTTTTGGTTCTTTTTTCCTGTCCCCTCTACCGGTAGAGCAGGATTTTGTCGCTGATTCTACCTAAGCATAGAACTATGCCTGCAAACAAATACCTCACAAGACAGGAAAAAGTCTTAAAATGTCTTAAAGAGGAAAGTGGAGGCCTAGAATACTTCAATTTTGGACTAGAAACACATTCTTTAATGCCCAAGCCTCTGGCCATCGAGATGCCATTGCTCGAATCCCTAGAAACTGGTAGGTCCCGGAGGTAGCAGCGGCCCACTGGCCGGGACTCCAGGGCGCGGCACGCCCCTCCCTCCGCCTCGGCCAATCGGCAGTGAGGAGGCGGGGCCAGGGACCTCGGGGGCGGGGCGAACACGGAGTGGGTGTGTCCGGGGCGGGGGCCGCAGGTCCCAGAAGGTGGCGACTTTCCTGGGCCTGTGGCGCCTTGGCGCAGGTGAAGAGGTCAGGCTGGAGGGGGCTCCGGCCTCCGGCGTCGGGAAATGGCGGCGGGGGTGAGAATAGAAGACGTGAGTGCACGGAGGTGTTGGGCGACTGTCCCCGGAATCTCTTCTTCCCGTGCTGGGGTGCACGGGGCGGAGACTGTCGGGGCTGGGGAAGCCTCAGCGCGACCGCGGCCGGAGGGGGCGCCGCCTGCGCACGGCCTGCCCGGGGCGCGGGGTTAAGGGAGAAGGCGCGGGTACGCTGTGGCGTCCGCGACACGCCGGCCCCGGGCCTGTTTTCCCCGGGTGGCAGTCGGGGTGGGGTCCTGCAGGATGGGCGTGCGGGTGGGGGGTCCCAGGCCGACGCCAGCCCACGTGTGGCGCCCGTCGTTGGCCCCGGAACTAGGAGCTTCACGTGATGCGCGTCTGGCCTGACAGCCTTCCTCCCGGAGACGGTCCCGCTGCGCTCGACTTGAACGTCCAGGGGCACAGGGGGCGAATCTTCCTGTGGGCTCTCCAGGGTGGGCTCCGCAGGTCACTGGCCCTGGAGTAGCAGCAGTGCTGCGGCTGGGCGCCAGCGTCCCGCGGGCAGACCTGTCGCTGTCACCTCCCGGAAACCCCCATTGGAGAAAAACAGTGTCATGTGCTGTTTTGAATTTAGGCGTTGTAGAAATAGAAAGATTTTAAAATTTTAGATCCGAACTAGATTATCCAGTACCCCAGTTTACAGTGTGTACGGTACAGAATGTTACCATTATTGCAATGGTAACATTATTGTCTTTAAGTTTATTAAGACAATTTTATTAATTAATTAATTATTAGGTACTAGGGATTGAACCCAGCCAGGGGCGCTTTACCTGTAAGCTCTCTCCCCACCCCTTTTTATTTTTGAGATAGGGTCTCACTAAGTTGCTTAGGCCCTCGCTAATTTGCTGAGGCTAGCCTCGAATTTGCAATCCTCCTGTTGAGTCCTTGGAATTACAGGTGTGTCCCACCGCACCCAGTGTACAATTTTAAAGGAAACGTGTATTGCCCAAAATCAAGTTAGTTGCCCATTGGCACTTTTTTTTTTCTTTCCCCTCTTTTGGGAGAGGACAGGGTCTCTCTAAGTTAGGGCCTGGCTAAATTGCTGAAATTGCCACACACTCCCAAGTTGCTGTTAATAAACTAATAGCAATGTTACTGTGATTTTAATCCTGAATGAGTGCATCAGGAAAAGCAGTGTCCCAGCACTATAAGAGCTTGGTGATTAGTTAAATAATTCTGATGAAATAAATAGCAATTCTAATCATAAGCTAAAAATTTTAATTTTTTTAATTGAGAAAATGAAAAATTAACTGTAACACCTGGAAGTATATTTGACACTCATATATAAAGTAAATCCTTTGTTAAGAGAGAGAGGGGATTTTTTAAATATTTATTTCTCAGTTTTCGGTTGACACAGCATCTTTATTTTATTTTATGTGGTGCTGAGGATCGAACCCAGCGCCCCGGGCATGCCAGGCTATCGCGTTACCGCTTGAGCCACATCCCCAGCCCTGTTTCTGAATTTTTAAGGGTGACATTATTGAGTTGACAATATATGGGAAACTATCTAAAAGGAAAATGAGATTTAGAAAAAAGCACATGCAGTGTTTATTAGTTGGTGCTTAGCTGCCCCCAGAGTTCTTAGATCTGTGTCTTTAAGTCTTAGTAGTACAATCATAGAAAACTTTCACTGGACAATTGAAGAGCAATGTTTCTCCAACAATGTATAGCTGAATTACTGTAGATCTGAGTAAGTTGCTGCTTTTGGTACATCTAATGTATGATTTCTAGTGTTCTGTAAATAGCTAAAAATTATGGGCCAGAAGCTTGAATGTCTTAAAGAGTCAGACTGTGTGATAGTTAGGATTCATTGTTTGCAGTAAACTAATGTCTAATTTACAAAGGCAAGGATTTATTTGAAAGGATACAGAGTGCATGAACACCAGGGTCTCTGAAAGGACTCAAATAAGAGCAGCTCAAAGGATCTAAGAACTAAGTGAAGTCCTTTCCGGGTCTACTCTGGAATGAATCTACCGCAGCAGTGGTCTGCCTTTCCTTTCCTGTGCACAGAGTGGATTGGCCTAACCATCCTCCTTAGGCCTGAGGAGAGTAAATGAAATGTATGAAGGATACCCCTACAATGCAGAAATGTCAGTGGGTTGCCAAAGGAAATAGTCACTGTTACAAAAGAGGAGGGAAGAGATAATACATAAGCAGAAACAGTAGATAATAATAGAAGGCTTGCCTAAGACAGGAAAATATGACCTATAGTGGGTCATTTGAAACTGATTCAGAAACAACACAGAGACAGATAGCAAAGACAACATGTAACTGTTTTCTGTATGTTCAAAAGCTGATGCAGAAATAAAGAAGGTATAAAGTAGACCCAGTTTGAACTTGTAGAGGTGAAAACTGCAATGTTAGATGAAGAAGCTGGGTAAGTGTCACAGAGAAGGCAGCATTTGCTGTGACAAGTGTTTGACAGGTGGGGAAGAACAAGTAGAGACAGTATAGAGATTGAAAACATTTCATGGGAGATGGGAACAATCAGTAGTGAGCATCAGGAGGGAGAGATGGCAATAAGCAAATCCTGAAAAGTAGTTTGGTTCAGAGTTGATTCTCTGTCCCTTGCCCAAATGATCTCTTCTGATGAGCACAGAAGTCTGGTGATTCACAGAGCTGAGATGGAGACAAGGTTTGGGACATTCATCCATCCGTCAAATGTTTGCAGAGTGGGGCCATGAGATACTGTTGGATGCTAGCATTCTGCAAGACAAATTAGAGGTGGGAAGTTAGTGGGTCCTAATGAGGAAGACAAATAAATACAAAGATCGTTATTGAATAGTGTGATACAGGCAAGCACAGAATGCTTTAGAAGACATAGAGGGCTGGGGTGATCCAGATTTGGGGTACTCAGGAAGACTCCCTGGTGGAAATTGCCCCATCTGGTCAAGAAAGGATGCTCAGACATTAGCTAAGAGCTTTCATGACTCTATTATTGACGACTTGAAAACTCCAAGCAGAAGGGTCACAAAGAGAAGAGAAATAATCAGAATTGTACCGAAGCGCGAAGCTGTATAGGCATAGATTAGGAAGATTTGCAGGGCAGCATTGGATGCCTGAGACTGGAATGGGGAGCCCACCCCAGATCTGGGTCGTGCTTCAGATTGGTTATTCATCTTTGTCATCTTAATGCCCAACAGCTCTCCCTTCCACTATTTGTCCCTTAATCTGTGTCTGGATTCTGTTTTCAGGCTCCTCTCTTGCCCACTAAAGTTCATTTCCATCTCATTCTAATGCAGTTACCTGATCTAACCCTGTTGCAACATCTCTTTTTTCATTTGCCTGTTTATTAACTGCTTCCCTGTAGGTTCCATGCAATATATTCCATTACATGTCCTTGTCTTGTCTAGTTTATCATGTCTTTATCTGAAACCCCAGTGAAAATGTAATCTTCTGTGTTTTTACCTCAGGCACAGCACCTATAAATTACAATTTTCAGTAAGGGCCTGAGTTTGAGAGGTTGTTATGGCTCATTTGTATGCAAGAGAGACATGGAAGTACTGTACCTGTCAAGACAGTACCTTTAAACATGACTAACTGAAAATTTTACATCCCACAGGAACTCAATCTTTGTCAGCTGCTTCAGTGACATTAGAACTAGCTGTTTTCAAGCTAGGCCTCCAAGCTCACGCCCTTAGCGCCAGAGTTTGTCAGTCTCAGGCAACAACATCCTTGAATCTAGGAGTTTAAGAACAGCCTGGGCAAAACACAGAGAGACCCCATCTCAAAAAAAGAAAGAAACAAAACAAAAACTAGTTGTTTGGGGGCTGGGGTTGTGGCTCACTACTTGCCTAGCACGGGTCAGGCACTGGGTTCAATCTCAGCATCACATAAAAAATAAAGAAATAAAATAAAGTTATGTCCATCTACAACTGAAAATATATTTTTTTAAAAAAACCAGTTGTTTCTATTGAAAATATGGTTTCTACAAACTGAAGACTCCTTGAAGGTCTATCAGGATGATCTGCCTCCATTGGTACTCGTTAATATTCTTAACAAGACTGAAAGTTTATTTTTTAGGCATGTGTGTTGCTAAGGATGGGACCCAGGGCCTCACACATACTAGGAAAGCTCTCTACAACTAAGCTACACCCCGCCCTGTTTTAAGCATTCTTATAAGTCTCCATCAGCTTTTCAAAGTTTTATGGAATACCGGAGAGACGCTTTAAAAGAATTGCTATCATAGCCAGGTGTGGTAGCACACGCTCATAATCCCAGTGACTCAGAAGACTCAGGCAGGAGGATTGAAAGTTTGAGGTCACCTCAGCAATTTAGCAAAACCCTGTCTCAAAATAAAAAGGGCTTGGGATGTAGCTCAGTGATAGAGTGACTCAGTTCAGTCTTCAGTACTCAAAAAAGAAAAAAAAAAGCCCCATGGTGGGTTGAAAGTGGGGAGATGTAAGTCGGAGGAAGGTAGCAAATATATAGGATGAGAAGTCTAGAAGTGTGAAGCACAGCATGAAGACTGCAGGTAATAAAATTGTATTTGAGATGAATAAATATCAGCTGCTTTTGCCACAAAAAAACAAAAGGCTATCTAGCGGGGCATGTGGTGCACACCTGTAATCCCATCACTCCAAAGGCTAAGGCAGGAGGATTGCAAATTCAAGGCCAGCCTGGGTAATTTAGCAAAGCCTTGTCTTGAAATAAAAAGTAAAAAAGGGCAGGGCAAGTAGCTCAGTGGTAAAGCTTCCTTGGATTCAATCCCCACCTACTACCAAATAAATAAATAAAGTTAATCAGTTTTGAGAGTGTGAAGAAGTGGTTTATTTAAATCTCATTATGTATTACCTTGTTTGTGAATTGTAGAAAAAACTGAGTTAAGATTTTCTCTGACTGGGCATGGTGGCGCATGCCTGTAATTCCAGCTGCTTAGTGAGGCTAAGGCAGAAGAACTGCAAGTTCAAGGCCAGCCTCAGCTACTTAGTGAGGTCTTAAGCAACTTAGCAAAACTGTGTCTTAAAATGAAAAGGGCTGGTGATGAAGTTCAGAGGTAGCACTCCTGGGTTCAATCACCAATACAAAAAAAAATTTAAAAGACTTTCTGTGCCCACCAGGTATGGCACCCTCCTGTCATCCCAATATTTGGGAAACTCAGGCAGGAGAATTACAAGTTTGAGACTAGCCTCAACAACTCAGAAAGACCACATCTCAAAATTAAAAAAAAAAAAAAATAATGGGCTAGTGTTATGGTTTGGATGTAAGGTGTCCCCCATGTGAGACATTGCAAGAAGATTTGGAGGAGAAATGATTGGGTAATAGCCTTAACCTAATCAGTTAATTAATCCCTAGTGGGATTAACTGGGTGGTTACTAAAGGAGGTGGGGTGTGGCAGTAGGAAGCAGTTCATTGGGGGGCGTGGCTATGGGGTATGTATTTTGTATCTGGAGAGGAGAGTCTCTGCTTCCTGATTGCCCAATGAGCTGCTTCCCTTTGCCACACTTTTCCTTCCGCCATGATGTTCTGCCTCACCTCGAGCCAGGAGGAAGGGAACTGGCCATCTGTGGACTAAGACCTCTGAAACTGAGAGCCCTAAATAAGCTTTTCCTCCTCTACAGTTGTTTGGGTCAGGTTCTTTAGATCATAGTAGCAAAAAAGCTCACTAAAACAGCCAGGAATGTAGCTCAGTGGTAAAGCATCCCTGGGTCTAATCCCCAGTACTGTTAAAAAAAAAAAAAAAATTAAATTTCCCCTACACATTTTAATACTTCTTATTTATAGTACTTATCTAGAAGGAAGTATTTTTTTTAATTGACTCTAGGAAGGGTATGTGCTTTTGCATCTAACTTGAATCATAGTTTTAAAAGCATTATAGTTGGGTGGATTTGTCTTGGAAACATACTCCAGAAAGTAGTGACCATAACTTGATTTTTTTTTTTTTTTGCACTGCAGGGTTCCTTGGACATTATCCAGAGTATTGAAGAGGACCCACTTCTGGATGCCCAGCTTCTCCCACATCACTCATTACAAGCTCATTTTAGACCCAGATTCCACCCTCTTCCTACAGTCATCATAGCAAATCTTCTTCTGTTTATCCATGTAAGTTGCCAGAGGAGATCTCTCCAGTGGTGATGTCCTTAAAAATATTGAAGCTCTTCAGAGGGCAGTTGGACTTAAATTTGTCAATATTTAGAATCTACATGCTTTCTTGATCATGCCTGTACTTGAGAGAATTTATAATAGATACATTTGCATAAGCATAAGGATATTGTTAGGAGCAATGTTGACTATCACATTAAGACTGCAAACTATGCAGCGTGGTGGCACTTGTCTGTAATCCCAGTGGCTCAAGAAACTGAGCAGAGGGCTGGGGATGTGGCTCAAGCGGTAGCGCGCTCGCCTGGCATGCGTGCAGCCCAGGTTTGATCCTCAGCACCACATACAAAAAAAAAAAAGATGTTGTGTCCGCTGAAAACTAAAAAATAAATATTAAAATTCTCTCTCTCTCTCTCTCTCTCTCTCTCTCTCTCTCTGTAAAAAGAAAGAAAGAAACTGAGCAGAAAGATTACAAGGTCAAGGTCAGCCTCAGCAACTTAGTGAGGCCCTGTCTCAAAATAAGAAGTAAAAAAGGCTGGGGATACGGCTCAATCCCTGTTACCAAAAAAAAAAAAGACTGCAAACTATCTGCTATCCAGGGGACATTTTATGTGTCCCATGAATGTAGACTATTATGCAACTGTTATAAAAGAAATGTACATATATTAACATAGAATAACCTTCATTATTACACTATTGACTAAAAAACAATCAGATTTTCAACATTTTGTATAGAATGTTCCTGTTAGTAGTTTCTTTTTTTTTTTTTAATTGAAAAAGAGTAAATATATTTATTGTGCACTACATAGTATTTTTTTAATGCCTTTATACATGTACTTTGTGGGGGTTTTTTTTTTGCATTACAATTCTTAATACACATGTATACCACAATTTTTCATATTCCTGTTAGTAGTTTTTCAAAGGGAGAAGAGGGGGCTGGTGTGTATACATATTCCTAAATATCAGAATATTTTTGAGTAGTCACAGACCTTATTGATGTAGGTTGCCACTGAAGTGGAGAATGAGGACGTTGGTGAAAATTACACTAATATATTTTATTGTTTACTTTTTGTATTACTATTTGATTTTTTTACCATGTATATGTATTACTTTTTCAGTTACAAAACAAAAAAATATATATGCAAATAAGTATACACAGGAATTTATCAGTTTACTTACACTTAGGAAATAATGTGAAGCAGAAAAATCAAGTTACAGCAAAACATTGTGAACAAAACAGCTCCATGTTTGTATGAAGATAAAATTACAAATGTGTAAGTAGGCCTTGCTGGTGATGGCTCTGCTCAGTCCATAAAGCCATTTCCTTGGCCAAGTATGGTGGCATACACCTGTAATCCCAGTGACTTGGGAGGCTGAGGGAGGAGGATCACAAGTAAGTTTGGGGCCAGCCTTCACAATTTAGTGAGATCCTGTCTCAAAAAAAAAAAAAAAAATTTTTTTTTTTTTTTTTTTAAGCCAGAAAGAGGGAATGTAACTCAGGAGTAAAGTGCCCCTGGGTTCTATCCCCAGTACCTGTTCCCCTGCAAGTAAAGAAAAAAAAAAAAGGGGGCTGGGGATGTGGCTCAAGCGGTAGCGCGCTCGCCTGGCATGCGTGCGGCCCGGGTTCGATCCTCAGCACCACATACCAACAAAGATGTTGTGTCCACCCAGAACTAAAAAATAAACATTAAAAATTCTCTCTCTCTCTCTCCTCTCTCTCTCCTCTCTCACTCTCTTTAAAAAAAAAAAAAAAGAAGTATTGTGGGTTGATATTTGCTACAATGTGAACAGTCAAAAAAAAAAAGAGGCCAAGTTTCCCTGCTCTTTGGGTTTTGAGGATAATAGTGGGGATTGACTAGGCCCAGCTGATGCTTCAGACCCCATCCAAAGTGCCTACCTGTCTGCAGAAGCTGCCTGCCCCAGCAAGTTTCTCAGTTTTCTCTGCAACTGGAATCCCCTCCTGTGAGGCACAGGGGCGGAGACTTGTACTTGGAACTGAACCCCTGAGAGGGGCAGCATCTGTCTGTTTTGCAGGGCTCTCTGGCTGTGGTGTGACTCTGCCATGACTTCCTGAACACCAGATCTCAGCTGAGACGCCTCCTGCCTGATACTGCCACACGCAGGGGTGGCTTCTTTTTCTTTTAACTTTTAACTTATTGGGTAGCACACTTTATTTAGATAAAGAACATATACCGGGGCTGGGATTGTGGTTCAGGGGTAGAGCGCTCGCCTAGCACGGGGGACCCGGGTTCGATCCTCGGCACTACATAAAAATAAAGACATTGTGTTGTGTCCATCTACACCTAAAAAATAAATATTAAAAAAAAAGAATATATACCCACACATTACTTTTTAAAGACCTTTTCATATTAAATTACATTTCTTTGATATGGTGGGATTGGTTGCCTTAATTTGGGGACTAACAAAATCTTAAGTGTTTTAAAAAAAAATTGCCAGGTGTAGTGGCTTGTGCATGTAGTTCTGGCTACTTGGGAGGCTAAGGTGAGAGGATTACGTGAGCCCAGGAGTTCCAGAGCAGCCTGGCAGTGTAGCAAGACTGTCTCCAAAAAGGGAGGGAGGCAGTGCAAGGAAAAGAACAAGTAATAATAAAAAGGGCTAGGATGTATCTCAGTGGCAGAGTGCTCGCCTAGCATGTGTATGACCCTGGTTTTAGTCCCCGGTACCACCAAAAAAGAAGAAATAAATAAAAAGAAAAATTAATGTCTTTCATGGTTCTTGGATTCAGTGTACACTGTATTACTTTATAGGGGATATATTTTCAACATTTTGATTTGTGGTGTTAAGAACCTTGAATTGTAATACTTACTCTCCATATTATTACTCTTGACAAATCACTTTGACAAATATTGTACTTATTTTTTTTTGTTTTTGTTTTGTTTGTTTTTGTTTTTGTAACTTTTTTGTAATACTGGGGATTGAAGCAGGGGTACTCTACCACTGATCATTGATCTACTTAATATCCCCAGTCCCCCCCCCCTTTTTACAGACAGGTTTTCATGGAGTTGTTCAGGTTAGGTTCCATTTTGCTATCCTCTTACTTCAGCTTCCTACATAGATAGGATTACAGGTATGTGTCTATAGTATTCATTTTTTTAAATACTTTTTTAGTTGTCAATGGATCTTTATGTTACTTATTTATATGTGGTGTTGACAATCGAACCCAGTGTCTCACACATGTAGGCAAGCATTCTGTCACTGACTACAACCCCAGCCCTGTATTATGCATTTTAGTAAATTTATTTTGTGCTCATATCGCCAGCTTTTAGATGCTTAGCAGTAAATGGTAGTGATAGCTTCTTTTTTCTCTTTACAGTACTGGGGATTGAATGTAGGGGCACTCTACTACTGAGCTATATCCCCAATCATTTTTTGAGACTGGAGATGGGCATTATTTTGAGTTTAAGATCTCCTTAAGTTGCTCAGGGCCTCACTAAATTGCTAAGGCTGGCCTCAAACTTTCAGTCCTTCTTCCTTAGCCTCCTGAGTTGCTGGGATTACAGGTGTGTGGCAATTTAGCAAGATCCTGTCTCAAACAAAAAAATAAAAAGGGCTGGGGATGTAGCTCAGTGGTAAAGCACCCTTTCATTTCAATCCCCATTATCAAAGGATGGGTGGGGAGGGGCAGATCATTTGAGACAGATTCTGGCTATATTGCAGAGGCTGGCCTTTAGTGTGTGATCTTCCTGCATCAGCCACCCAAGTAGCAGGGATTACAGGTATGTGCCACTGCCATGGCATCCAGATTAATGATGTTTTGAAGTTTGTTTTTGTTTTGTTTTAGTCCTGGGGATTGAACCTAGGGGTGCTTTTACTTCTGACCTACATTCCCACCCCTTTTTATTTTTTGAGATAAGTTCTCTTGCTTTAGGACCTCATTAAATTGCTGAGGCTGGCCTCAATCACTACTGGGGATTGAACTCAGAGACACTGGACCACTAAGCCACATCCCCAGCCCTATTTTGTACTTTATTTAGAGTCAGGATCTCACCAAGTTGCCTAGCGCCTCGTCATTGCTGAGACTGGCTTTGAACTCCCGAGCCCCTGAGATTACAGGCGTGTGCCACCTTGCCCAACTGGCCTTAAACTTTTGATCCCCTGCCTCAGGCTCGCGAGTCTCTGGGTTTACAGGCACACACTACTATGTCCACTGTTATATTTGATGTTTTTAAAAATCACAGAATCATATATCCTTGTGTAACAAGTAAGCATCGCTAAAATATAAAGGTAAAATCGTGATCTTCCCTTTCTCTTTTGTCAGTCTTCTCCCTGATGTGGGTTCAGTTTCTTGATATTCTTCACTGCCTTTTGTTAAATTCATGCAAATATTGATGGATGCAGTGGTGTACATCTGTAATTTCAGGAACTCTGGAGGCCAAGGCAGGAGGATTTCAGATTCTAGGACAGCGTTGGCAACTTAGACCCTGTCTCAAAATTTAAAATAGGGCTGGGAGTATAGCCCAGTGGTAGAGTACCTCTGAGTTCACTCCCCAGTACTACAAAAATAAAGAAAATAGCCAGGTGTGGTGGTGCACAACTTTAATCCCAGCAGCTCCAGAGGCTGAGGCCATTGGATTGAGAGTTCAAAGCCAGCCTCAGCAATTTAGCAAGGCCCTAAGCAACTCAGTGGGTCCCTCTCTCTAAATAAAATACAAAAAAGGGGGAGTGCTGAGGATATAGCTCAGTGGTTAAGTACCCCTGGGTTTAATCCCTAGTACATAAATAATTAAATAAATAAATAAATAAATAAATAAATAAATAAATAAATAAATAAATGCAAATATATACAAAGATATTAGCACCTATACAAAGGGATTTACCCCACTTTTAAAAAATTGGATCAACGGGTGTGGTGGCACACGCCTGTAATCCTAACAGCTCGGGAGGCTGAGACAGGAGGATCAAGAGTTCAAAGCCAGCCTCAGCAACAGTGAGGCACTAAACCACTCAGTGATACCCTGTCTCTAAATAAAATACAAAATAGGGCTGGGGAGGTGGTTCAGTGGTCGAGTACCCCTGAGTTTTAGGGCCTCATGTGTGCTAGACAAGTGTTCTAACAAAAAATTATATCCCCAGCCCCTGTGTGTTTCTAACAGTGTTTCTCAGATTCACACATCAGACCCTGCTGACAGGCTTGTGAAAAGACAGATTGCTGGGTTGCATCCCCGGGGATTCTGGCTTAAAGAGGATTAGGGCAGGCTCCAGTGTGTGCATTTCTAACAAACTTGCTTAATCTTAACATATCAGAGAGAGAGGCAAACCAATACACAGAGTTGTTTTTGTGTGTTTGTTTTATTGTACTGGGGATTGAACTCAGGGGTGCTTTACCACTGAGTTCCATTCCCAGTCTTTTTTTTTTTTTTTTTTTAAAGAGAGGTGAGAGAGAGAGAGACAGAGAGAATTTTTAATATTTATTTTTTAGTTTTTGGCAGACACACATCTTTGTTTGTATGTGGTGCTGAGGATCGAACCCGGGCCGCACACATGCCAGGCGAGCGCGCTACCGCTTGAGCCACATCCCCAGCCCCCCAGTCTTTTTTTATTTATGAGACAGGGTCTAAGTTGCTTAGGGCCTCACTAAGCTGCTGAGGCTGGCCTCAAATTTACAATCCTCCTGCATCAATCTCCTGAGTCTCTGAGATTGGTGAAATGCATCACTGTGTCCAGTGCTTAGTTAATTCTTTTCCAGGTGCATAATATTCTATAACATGGGTGGGTATGTCTTAATTTATTCAAGCATTTCATAGTAGATGGGCAAATATATGGGCAATTTCAGGTTTTGCAAATATAGGAAGTACTATAATAAATATTTGTATCCCAGTATTCTGGGTATTTGTACTTTAACTTTGGAGCAATAGAGACCTTAAAGTAGATTTTCTGGGTCAAGACATTTCCAAATTATTCTCCAAAAGCAATTTGCAGTTTAGTTAGCAATTTTTTTTCATGGATATGATACCTTTATTTTGTTTATTTTCATATGATGATTAGGATTGAACCCAGTGCCTCTGTGTGCTAGGCAATTGCTCTACCAATGAGCCACAACCGTAGCGCTAGTTAGCGGTTTTCAAGTAAGTCTTGTGTGTCTATATTCTAGCACCAGTCAGTTAAACTTTATTTATTTTATTTCTTTTAGTACCGGATATTGAACCCAGAAGCACTTTATCACTGAGCCACATTCCCAGACCTTTTTATTTTTTGAGAAAGGGTCTCACTAAGTTGCTGAGGGTGGCTTTCAATACTACTGCCTCAGCCTCCCAAATCACTGAGATTACATGTGTGCACCACCACACTCAGCTAAACTTTTTAAACCATGATTATTATTAGTTACCTTTTTAAAAAATTTTTTATAACTTTTTATTTATTTATTTATTTTTGTGTGGTGCTGAGGACCAAACCCAGGGCCTTGCGAATCGAGCGCTCTACCACTGAGCCAAAACCTCAGCCCCTTAATCTCTCTTTTTTTTTTTTTTAATTTTTTTATTAGTTGCTCAAAACACTACCTCTTTTTAATAAAAGAGGTAGCAAGAAACTGTTGAGCATTTGTTTTAGATGGTATTTGGGGTAATTTTTAATGATCAAAAAAAAAAGTTTTCAGACTTTTTTATAAAAATAGGATAGTAGGAATTATGGGCACAGAGTATTTCCTGGGGTGGCAATTATTGTTTCCTAATTCCATATATTGAGTATTCATCAGCTGCTTTCCTTTCCCCAGGTTGTGTTTGTTATTTTAGCGTTCTTGACAGGTGTGCTTTGTTCTTACCCTGACCCAAACGAGGACAAGTGCCCTGGAAACTACACCAACCCACTGAAAGTCCAGACAGTCATAATCCTAGGAAAAGTCATTTTGTGGATTCTGCACTTACTTCTGGAACGCTACATTCAGTATCACCACAGCAAAGTGAGAAACCGCGGCTATAACCAGATCTACCGCGCCACAAGGCATCTGAAGAGCCTGGCCCTGTTGACGCACTCCACCGGTAAGCCCGGCTTTCTGGGCCTTGAGTAGCCAAATGACAGCAGAAAGGACACGTGAAGTTGGATTGTATGACCCAGTGCATTCTCTCAGTGTGTCATGGCCACTGTCTGGTTTTCTTATACACTTGGTTTTCACTTGAAATTTGCATTTGTTGTGGACATGGCATCTGTGTGTCCCTGTGTACGATGTAGATTTTCCCCCCTTTTTGGTATCAGCAGGTTTATTCAGCTTAAGAAGATATAGTATCCAGTAGCCAGGTGCAGTGGTGCACACCTGTAATCCCAGCAATTTGGGAGGCTCAGGCAGGGGGATCACAAATTAAAGGCCAGCCTCAGCAACTCAGCAACACCTGTCTCAAAATAAAAAAAGGACTGGGGATGTGGCTCAGTGGTTAAGTGCCCCAGGGTTCAATCCCTGGTCAAAAAAAAAAAAAAATCTAGTATCCAAAATAAGACTTGTAAAACACACAGGTCCTAATTTATGAAGGTATGATCAGAAGCTTCATTTAGGACTGGGAATACATGAATGCTTGATTTTCTTTATTGTTGCATACATTTTAAAGGCTGTGTGGAAGTAAACTGAATTTTTTTAGGCACTTTTGACTTACCTTTTTAGGAAAACCTCATTTGGAGTCCAGAGTAAACCTTTGAATATTCTGAATCCAGATTAGGAATTCATTTTTCTAGCAGGGCCTGGTGGCTGAGCCTATAAACCCAGCTACCTGAGAGGCTGAGGCAGGAGGATCTCGTATTCGAGGCCACTCTGGGCAATTTAGCAAGACTCTGTCTAAACATAAAAATATAGGCTGGGTGCAGTGCCACATGACCGTAATCCCAGTGATTTGGGAAGCTCAAGCAGGAAGATTATAAACTCGTGGTTAGCATAGGCAATTTAAGACAGGGTCTCCATATAAAAAATAAAAAGGACTGTAGATAAACTTAGTGACAAAGCGACCGTGGGTTCAATCCCGAGTACAAAAAACAAATGGAGCCTAGCATGCTGGTACACGCCTACAATCCCAGGCCTATAATCCCTATATGGCTCAGGAGGCTGAGGCGGAAGGATCGAGAGTTGAAAGTCAGCCTCAGCAAAAGTGAGGCACTAAGCAACTCAGTGAGTCCTGTCTCTAAATAAAATACAAAAGAGGGCAGGGGATGTGGCTCAGTGGCGAGTGCCTCTGAGTTCAATGCCTGGTACCAAAAAAAAAAAAAAAAGGATTTGGAATGTAGCTGAATGCTTGTCTAGCATGTGCAAGGCCCCAAGTTCAGTCCCCAGTATCACAAAGAAGAAAAAAAAGAACTTCATTTTTCCCCAGAAAAACAATTTCACCAAATCTTTTATTCTTCTTCTGTGCTTTGTGAGTGCACTATTTAAAGGGCAAGCTGCAAGCTCATCTCCCCAGTGAATTCCCAGTGGAAGCGAAGTGCCACACTGTCAAGGAGAGGGAAGTATTTATGGAGATGGTGATCTTGTTTGATCTTCACTGGGGGGAGCTTCTTTTTTTTTTTTTTTAACTATGATGCAATATTTATTTTTTGTTTGTTTTAATTAGTTACACATGACAGTACAAGGACCTTCACATATCATACATTTGAATCAGATGGGATATAATTTCTCATTTTTCTGAGTACACAGGTGGCAGAATCACATTGGTCATGAAGTCTCATATATACACACAGTAATAATAATATCTGTTTCATTCTACTGTCCTTCCTATGTCCCCAACCCCTCCCCTCCCCTCCCATCACTTCTTTCTACCTAATCTAGGGTAACGGTAACGCTATTCTTTTTTTCCTCACATCTTCATACATGTATTTTGTATAGCAATGAGTGTCTCCTTCCACCATCCATGCAATTCCCTTTCCCTCCCACCCCTTTTCCCTATGTAGAGGTAATCTTCTTCCCATGTTCTTCCTCTCTTTTCTATTTTGAGTCACCCCTTTATATCAGAGAAGACATTCGGCACTTTTTTTTGGGGGGGGATTAGGGGGTTGGCTAACTTCATTTAGCATAATCTGTTCTAATGCCATCCATTTCCCTGCAAATGCCATGATCTTACTTTTTAGTGCTGAGTAATATTCCATTGTGTATAAATGCCACATTTTTTTTAATTCATCCATTGAAGGGCATCTAGGTTGGTTCCACAGTCTAACTATTATGAATTGTGCTGCTATAAACACTGATGTGGCTGTGTCCCTGTAGTATGCTCTTTTAAGGTCTTTTGGGTATAGTCTAAGAAGGGGAATGGATCAAATGGTGATTCCATCCAGCTTTCCAAGGAATCTCCATACTGCTTTCCAAATTGGCTGCACCAATTTGCAGTCCCACCAGCAGTGTATGAGTGTGCCTTTTTCCTCGCATCCTCGCCAGCACTTGTTGTTTGTCTTCATCATGGCTGCCATTCTGACTGGAGTGAGATGGTATCTTAGAGTAGTTTTAATTTGCATTTCTCTGATTGCTAGAGATGATGAGCATTTTTTCATATATTTGTTGATAGATTGTATATCCTCTTCTGAGAAGTGTCTGTTCAGGTCCTTGGCCCATTTGTTGATTGGGTTATTATTATTTTGGGGGGGGGGTATTTAGTTCACTGAGTTCTTTGCATACCCTAGAGGTTAGAGCTCTATCTAATGTGTGAGGGGTAAAAATTTGTTCCCAGGATGTAGGCTCCCTATTCACCTCATATATTATTTCTTTTGCTGAGAAAAAAAACTTTTTAGTTTGAATTCATCCCATTTGTTGATTCTTGGTTTTAATTCTTGTGCTATAGGTGTCTTATTAAGAAAATTGGGGCCTAGTCCCACGTGATGGAAATTAGGGCCTACTTTTTCTTGTATTAGACACAGAGTCTCTGGTTTAATTCCTAGATCCTTGATCCATTTTGAGTTAACTTTTGTGCATGATGAGAGAAAAAGATTCAATCTCATTTTGTTGCATATGGGTTTCCAGTTTTCCAACACCATTTTTTGAAGATGCTATCCTTTCTCCAGGTCATGCTTTTAGCACCTTTGTCTAATATAAGGTAGTTGTAGTTTTGTGGGTTAGTCTCTGTGTCCTCTATCCTGTACCATTGGTCCACCAGCCTGTTTTGGTGCCATATATTTTATGTCTTTATTTCAGTTTTATGTGGTGCTGAGGTTTGAACCCAGTGCCTCACGTGTGCTAGGTGAGCACTGTACCATTGACCCACAACCCAAGCTCCTGGGGGAGGTTCTTTTTGCTTCCTATCTGTTGAAGATGAACTTTGTTTCCACGTTCAGCTGCTGGTGTGTAACACTCTTTTTTGGCCAGAAGATGTCACTATAACATAAAAATAAAAGCAAAAACCTGAATCTTTACTGATAGATCTTAAGTCTGACACCAAATATACTATTTCTCAAATGATGGTCTTTGAAATTATGTGTGTGTGTGTGTGTGTTTTGCTGGGGTTTGAACACAGGGGCTCATGCATGCTAGACAAGAACTCTTTTTTTTTTAAGTTGCTGAGCTGGCCTTGAACCTATAATCCCCCTGCCTCAGCCTCTTGTGACACCTGGTATGTGACTCTTAATAACGATCTGTTTTTAACAACTAGACTTTTTTTTTCTTGGCAGTACTGGGGATTGAAACCAAGGTCTTACACAAACAAGGAAATGCTCTGCCATTGAACTGTATCCCAAATGCTTTTTATTTTATTTTGAGATGGGGTCCTTGAACTAACTTGAATTATCCTTGAACTTGAGATTCTCCTGCCTCAGCCTTTCTAGAAGCTAGAATTACAGGTGCCAAACTACTTTAATTTTTTTTATTTTTATTGTTTTGGAAAAAGAAGGAAGGTGTGCCTGAGGACACAGTGACTAGTGACTGTGTCCTATACACTCTTATCTCTCACTGGCCTCACATTCCTCAGGAGGCCCAAGGCTATCATAGAAATTCCTGCTGGCAGGGTTCTCACTGAGGACTGGGCCTGATGCTCTTAGGCTCAGGGAGGCAGAGGGGCAAGGTCTTTCACTGTAACATTGTCTGGCTAAATTTTCTGTATAGAGTTGCTGTGGAGGAGAGGCTTCATGGAATGTGCCTGGGTCGGTGGTATATATTTACATGCATTGCTATGGATCAAACTTGGGGCCTCATGCCTGCTAAGCAAGCCCTCTACCACTGAGCCACACCCTCAGCTCCCAGAATTATTGTTATACTAATAAAATATATCACTTGCTGAACACTTAGGCATTGTCAGTTCACTTCCTCCAAAAACCCTGCGCGCTCAGTATTATTTCTCTAGTTTTTTAGTGGAAGAGTCCAGGGCTTTGTGAGATTTTATTTTATTTCTTCTTGTTTTTATTTTCAGTAGGTGGACAGTTAGGGATTGAACTCGGGCCTTGTACATATTAGGGACATGTTCTACCACTGAGCTGTCTCCCAGCCCTCAGGAGCTCATTTCTTCCAAGAACTTTTATTTCATTTTTTGCTGTTCTTGGATTTGAACAGGGCCTTGCACATCCTAGGTACCTCATCTGCCACTGAGCAATATCCCTAGGCCTTTTTATTTTATCTTGAGACAAGATCTAAGTTACCCAGTCTGAACTTGAACTTGAGATCCTCCTGTCTCAACCTCCTGAGACGGTGATTACAGGTGTGCAACACCAGGACCAGCTCTAATAGTTTTTTTTTTTTTAATTTATTTAATGGCAAATGAAATGAAACACACAGGCTGTATCTGTGGTTATAAAAGCACTTACAAAGAAAACTGGTTGCATATTGTATACTGTCATGTAGAAAGTTTCTGATGAACTAATGAGCTTTTTTCTTCTTCTTCTTCTTCTTTTTCTTTTTTTTTTTTTTTCCTGGTACCAGGGATTGAACCCAGCAGTGCTTTACCACTGAGCCACATTCCCAACCATTCTTTTATTTTTTTATTTTGATTTTGGGGTCTCAGTAAGATGCTTACAGCCTCACTGAATTACTGAGGCTGATTTGAACTTGCAATCCTCCTACCTCAGCCTCCTGAGTCACCAGGATTGTAGGCGTGTACACTGCCCAGCTTAATGAGCTCTGAGGAAGTGGACTCGGAGGAGTTTAAGCCGGGAAGAATGACCTGAAGAAGTCATCCAGGGCCAGATCATGAGGGTTGCCACAAGTTTAGAGAGAGGCAGCCTTGGAAGGGAAGGCTTTGCTGAGAGTTTTGAGAGTTGGAAAGATCACTCTGGCCATGGCTGGAGAGGGCAGTTAAGGAGGCTGCTATAGTACCCCAGGGCAAGGATCTAGGTCTGAACTAAGATATCATGCTGGGCAGTACTTTCTGACAGAGGTCTTGTGTGCTGTCCACAGCACGTACCATTTCAGGGAATGTTTTATTTCAGCATGCCCCTCTCCTTCCAGGCTGCAGATTTCATGCACCATAAACTCCCAGTCACAGCCTGTGACCCACCAGGGTGCTGCATGTGGGGTTGCTCAGTACCTTAAATCCTTTGCATGCTGTTTCATTTATGTGCAGAGGGTTTATTTTAGTACTCTGTTGTCTGTTTATCTTAATTCACAAAATTATGTTACAAAGAGTATAAGGGGAAGGCATAGGGCTTTGTTAAATTATTATTATTTTTTTTGGAGTTGGGGGGCACCAGGGATTGAACTTAGGAGCACTGGACCACTGAGCCACATCCCCAGCCCTATTTTGTATTTAGAGACAGCACCTGACTTTTGCTGAGACTGGCTTTGAACTTGAGGTCCTCCTACCTCAGTTTCCCCAGCTGCTGGGATTGTAGGCGTGCCATCACGCCTGGCTGTGTAATTAGTTTTGATAGGTCCTTTTAAAAATGTCTCTGTGGGGCTAGGGATATAGCTCAGTTGGTAGAGTGCTTGCCTAGCATGCATAAGGCCTTGGGTTCAATCCCCAGCACCACCACCCCCCAAAAAAGAGGTATCTTTGGTTCAGAGTCATTCCTTTTGTACAAATGGGAGAAAATTAAATAAGCATTGTTTTCCCCTACATCAGATGTAGATAAATATGCTAAATAACTTTTAGGAAATTCTAAGAATCACTTGTGTCTCTAAAGTTTTCTTTGACATTCTTCAGAGTAAAAGGGCAAATTTGTTGCCAGTTTTGAGAAAAAGGAAGAAGAAAGTTTATTGCTTTGCTAGCAAAGGAGAAACAGAGGACTCCTATCCCAAAGGCTCTGATACTGCCCATCCTCAGGAACAGGGGCCTTTTTATTGTGCTTCAGAGAAAATGAAATTAGGTAGGAAAGATCGGGGAGGAGATCAGGAAGAAGATTGGGAAAAAGAAAAAAAAAATCTAAGTTTCAAAGGATCAAGTGAACCCTTGTTACAAAATGAGGTTAAAATGATCCTCAAAAATAAAACAATAGAAGCTAGGAGCAGTGGTGCACACCTATAATTGCAGCAGCTCTGGAGGCTGAGGCAGGAGGATTGCAAGTTCCAAGCCAGCCTCAGCAATTTAGTGAGGCCATCTTTAATAAAAAGGGCTGGGGATGTGGTTCATTGGATAAGCACCCCTGGATTCAATCCCTGATACCAAAAGAAAAAATAAATAAGGCTGGGGATGTGGTGGTAGAACACTTGCTAGAATGCTTGACCCCTTAAGTTCAATCCTCAGCACCACAATACTTGATTAATTAATTAAAAAGAATTTTTGAGGGCTGGGTTTGTGGCTAAGTGGTAGAGTGCTTGCGTATGCTTGAGGCACTGAGTTCAGTCCCCAGCACCACATACAAATAAAACAAATGAAGTGAAGGTATTTTTGTTTTTGTTTTTTGTTTGTTTGTTTTTTAAGGAGTAGTATATTTAAAAAATAAATAGAATTTTTGAGCCAGGCACAATTGTTGGTGCCTGTAATCCCAGTGGCTCAGGAGGCTGAGACAGGAAGATTGTGAGTTTGAAGCCAGCCTCAGCAAAAACAAGGTGCTAAGCAACTCAGTGAAACCCTGTCTCTAAATAAAATACAAATAGTAGAGGATAGGAAAGGTAGCAGAATACAACAGTTACTAATATGGCATTATGTAAAAATGTGGATGTGTAACCGATGTGATTCTGCAATCAGTATTTGGGGTAAAAATGGGAGTTCATAACCCACTTGAATCTAATGTATGAAATATGATATCTCAAGAGCTTTGTAATGTTTTGAACATCCAATAAAAAAATTTTAAAAATTTAAAATAAATAAATAAAATACAAAGTAGGGCTGGGGATGTGGCCCTAACCCCAGTACACACAAAAAAAGAATTTTTGTTTTGGTTTTAGGTACTGGGGATGGAACTCTGGCCAGCCCCTTTTGCTTTTTGAGACAGTCTCACCAAATTGCTTAAGACCTTGCTAAATTGCTGAGGCTGGCCTCAAACTTGGGATCATCCTGCCTCAGCCTCTCAAAATGCTAGGATTACAGGCATGTGCCACCATCCCCAGCTAGAATTTAAAAAAAAAAGAAGAAAGAAAAACTAGATAAGCTGAATGAGTGGTTTAGTAGAAATAGGTAATATTGTTGCTAAAAGTTTAGTTCTTGTTCCTGATGCCAATCCAATGAGGAGGACATGATTTTGAAAAGGAAAAAGAAGTTTTATTGCTTTGCTAGCAAAGGACAAACCCAGAGGACTCCTGTTGTAAAGGTTGTGATTCTGTCCATCTGGGGGATCAGGGCTTTTTTAAAGAGATGATTTAAAGGCTACATTCTCTTGTTGTAATTCACTTGTTAATTTGAGAGATAATCATTTCTGAGATTCTCTGGTGTCATTCCCAAAATCTGAATTACTTAGTTCTTGCAATCAGTATGTACTCAAGGTCAGATAACTCTGCCTAGGATGGGGAAGAAAGGTAATCCTGTTTCTCCTGAGATTAGGGAAGAGCCGGGAGAGATGAAGAGAAAGAATCATGACTGTTTTAAAAATAAGTTGCGGGTTGGGGATGTGGCTCAAGCGGTAGAGCGCTCGCCTGACATGCGTGCGGCCCGGGTTCGATCCTCAGCACCACATACCAACAAAGATGTTGTGTCCTCCGAGAACTAAATAATAAAACATTAAAAATTCTCTCTCTCTCTCTCTCTCTCTCTCTCTCTCTCTCCTCCTCTCCTCTCTCACTCTCTCTTAAAAAAAAAAAAAAAAAAGTTGCAGTGGGGAAGGGAGGGGGCTTGGGGGTAGGATATGAAAAGCCAGCCTCTCCCTCAGAGCAAAGCCTGTCCAAGAAAGGAGGCGTGACCTTTGTCCTTGGAAAGACCCACAGAGCACTGCTAGGCCCATACCCACCCTGCTGAGTTGTTTATCTACAAATAACTGGAGAGCTCTGCTGTGGAGATCTGCTGTGGAGCCAGGTGTCCCTGACTCAGGCTAGGTGGGGACCCATAGCAAACCCTTAGCAGCCACCAATCAGCATGAGAACAGGGAAATACCTGGGATGCCAGATGACCCTCCCAGTAGTTTATGGTGGTTGATAACTTATTGGGAAAACATGAAGTAAGTTCAGCACGTACTCCCCTCATGGCTTAAACCAATCAGTTCAAATGAATCCCCCTCTTGTACTGACCAGTCACCCCTTCCCAACTTGTTCCCGCCAGTGAATGTGCTAATCATGTTTTAGAGTTGTTTTATGATTTTCCCGTGGTGTGTGATAATTGGCTAAGACATGCTATGATGTATGTGAAGTCCCTACCTTCCCCAAAGAGTGTATAAAACTCCTGCAAACCCTGGGCTCGGGGCCTCTCGGTGTTACCAGTTGCTATGTGCATGTGGTGGACCGGGCTAGCTCACGATAAATACCTCTTTGTTGCTTACATCAATCTTGGTCTCTGGTGGTCTTTTGGGGGTCCCGAACTCGAGCATAACAGATAGACGGTAGAATGAGACAGTCACCATTGCCCCAAGTACATGTATGAAGACACAAATGGTGTAACTGTACTTTGCGTACAACGAGAGACATGAAAAATTGTGCTGTTTGTGTCATATGAATTGATTTGCATTCTGCTGTCATGTAACAAATTAGAATAATTTTAAAAATAAGTTGCGAAGCAGGAAGTATTTGTTGTTAAAAGCTCAGTCCTTGTCCTCAATACCAATCCAATAACAAGGGCACGGTTTTGGGAAAAAGGTTTATTGCTTCGTTAGCAAAGGAAAAACATAGGGTGCTGTCCCAAAAGCTGTGATCTGCCCATCAGCAGGAAAGGGGGGCGGGGGCTTTTAAAGAGGTGACTCAAAGGCTACATTCCATGTGTACTGGGTTGGAGTTGTAATTCACTTGTCCATTTGGGAGATAGTCATTTCTGAGATCTTCTGGTATCATCACCAAAGTCTGGATTACTTCATTCCTGTGGTGGGTGTGCACTCAAGGACAGATACCTCTGCCTAGAATGGAGGGAGGGGGGAGGTAATCCTGTCACCCCTGAGATTAAGGAGGAACAGGGAGAGAGGAAGAGAAAGAAACATGTCCATTTTTAAAAATAAGTTGCTGTGGCAGAGCAGCGAGGGCTAAATTCAAAGCATAAAGTGGACCACAGTTACATGAGGACATTACAAGGCTTTTTAGGAACTGTACAAAAACCAATTATAACAAAAGCTGTTCTCTTGTCACTCAGGAAACTACAAGGGTTTTCAGAGCTCTGTGCCAAGGATGAAGGCCCACTACACTTTCTCAGTTCATGCCCTGTGTGTTTCTCCTTCCCAGGAAACATGATGCTCCTCCTCATACTGTGCATGCAGCATTCTTTTCCTGAGCCCAGCAGGTTGTACCTTGACCTCATTCTGGCCGTCCTGGCCCTGGAACTGCTCTGCTCCCTGACCTGTCTGCTCATTTATGCAGGTGAGAATTGCCATTTTTCCATTTTGTAAGACCTTTACGTAACTGTTTTTTCCTCCTCGTTTGACGCATAGACCATTGTTTTAGTGACAAGGAAGTTTCCCTGTGTATCTGAGAACCTTTTTGCATCTGTATCTTCCACTGCTGGTCACATCCAGGCTCCTCTCCTCTCAAACCAATAGGGGAAAAGGTACACCTGCAGCCCTCCCTCCCCCTCCCTCAGAGAAGCCCCTGCTGCCCCTTTCAGGAAGCTGGAGAGAAGAGTCCACCTGGGGTGCCCCTCTGACTCGGCCTGGGGCCCTTGCTCTCTCTGGGCCATTGGTCCTGCACCCAAAACCCTGACACCTGGCAGTGACCCTGGACCTGGAGGCTAGCTCCCCCCCCC